AATTAGTCAGTGTTTGATGTGTCACGTGAAAACACTCACCTCTGTTAATAATAAGAAATGAGTCTGTCAGACACATATGTCCCAATTCCACACTTAAGAATGAAAGCAGGTCAGAGGTCAAGGTTACAAAAGGCGTGTAATATGCTGTCTCATATAGAGGAGCATAAGCAGGAGAGGTAACATAACTCTAGCAGCAGCACTTAGTACATAACTAACTACAAGACCAACTTAATCAAGACCACACAGGTCAAGGTCAATTGTCAAGGTTAGCTCCTTTGAGAGCTAAACAATGTAACTGTTTGGAATGAGAAAGTAAGAAGAATCTCTTTATATTGAAACAGTTTTTATGAAATAATGTCCTTTTTAGTCAGAACTATGTAAAAAGTAAAGTAATTTCTTCATTATGAAAACACATTTCAATTTTTTCAAATTTGAGATCGAGTGTGACTATATACCTCCAATTTCTGTATCCTCCGACCCAATTCTCCGTAATTTTGCATTGGCATTTGTGATTTCCATGGCTAGTCTGGACACAACGGTCTGACATATCCACTGCAAAAATAAAGAGCAAATACAAAACTTGAAAAGAACAGGGTAAGCTTTACTCAAACAAGTAACAATCTGGTACAGTGCAGGTTCAGCTATACTCTAACAAGTGACAATCTGGTACAGCACAGGTTCAACTTTTCTACAACAAATAACAATTTGGTATAGAGAAGAGTCACCCTTACTCTGTAGGTTGCTTGTGATACTATAATCTGTCCTGGCTATATTTATTGTATTCTATACCTTGCACTTATGTGTTTCAGGGAAGAAACTGAAAAGTAATTTTCCTTTGTTGATACCAAGTTGTCGCATGAGAGCTGGGAACTTGGTCCCGACTACTGACAAAGCCATGGCTCCTTATAACAAAATCTATGTAAATTTAATAGTTGGTAAGGGTCCACTTTACAAAGAACTTGACCCTAGGTCAAACCTGCTTGTTGACCAGACTCACCTTTCTCAGACGCTCTGTCCACAGGTAGAGGTCATCCTCGGTCACTCCCCGCTTACTCCACACCTACAAAATCAATCATTTCATGTGAAGGGCTAATCATGTTTTCAATACAGGATCCAGGGCCTTACCATTGTAGACGGTTAACACTGGGCATCTCACATCTAATGCCTCAAGAAAGCAATTTCTTCAAAATCAACACTTCAACAGAGTTTTTATAGAAATGACCATTTAGTGATTTCACAATCCATTAATTATAATACTTTTATATGTGCATGTTTTAGAGGAATATTGTTTTAGTACTTTTCAAATTTTAAAATATTGAACTAACTGATACAGCATTAATCAAAGTTTCTTTAATTAGTTTTCAATTACAAATATTGAGGTCGTTCAGATTCAACAATGTACTAATCTGTTAAAATCTGATAATTCAACGACAGTGTTACAATAAGTACAGTCACAGTAATTATAATGTGGTTAGGAGATCAGTACAGATGTAAGATACTTGATTGAATTATGTCAGGAAATTAGAATACTGAAAAATATTATCCATCATAAATTTAATTTATATTTATTAAATCTTGTATAGACAGGTACTTATCAACCCTCCCACGTAACTTACATCGTCGCCACCGTAGGATGATGATACGTCGTTATCATTATTACGTGCAGTGTTTGACTGCGGTGATCGTGTGGCCAGCTGGTACATATATTTGCGGAGGACATGAGTGTAGTCCATGGCTGATCGTCCGTAACTCCAGAACGATGTACTTCCTGTGTTGGTGGCATCAGGCGAACCTATAAAAGACAGAATAACAATCACAACAGTGACTTTTCTGGTTTTAAATTTGACAGGATAACAATCTACTAATTTGAGTGTCTAAGCACCAATAAGCATGTATTCATTGTCAGAATTTTACTGCAGACTAACACTGACAAATGTTTTAAGAAATGAAGCGAGTCAGAAAAGACCACAATGAGACAACTATACCAAAACCAAGTGACAGGTATATCTCTCACCGTGCCGTGATGGCAGAGTCAGACAAGACAGGGTGGCAGATATTTCTCTCACATTTCTATTAGCCCCTAAGATGTGCAGATCTCTAAATGAAATTCTTTACAACACCAGTTCAAAGTTAGAGACATATAACACTGTGTCTGCCTGGGTAAGGATTCAGGCTACAGCAGGATTTAGGGTCAATACATGTGTATTAGGGTTTTGGACCGTTTAAGGTAAAGGGGTATAAGTCAGAGTGGCAGGCAAGACTTAATGAGGTTAAGAGTTCAAAATTGTTAACGTTACATATATTTTATTTTCAAGCTATGGTAAATTGATAGACATACGACTGGAAATGGAATGACCTTGAGGTGACCTAGTGAGGACAGAGAGTGAAAAGACCATAGTGGTTTCACAAAATGGCCATTTCAGCTTGTTAGCCGATCAAATATTTAAGTAAATGTATGACAAACTGAGGTCATAGTCACAACCACATCAGAACAAACATCAACAGAGTCCTCACAATGTTGGGCCGTACTTACTGAGGGCTGACATAGACAACCGTACCAGTACTTCACAAACATTGGTATACTTACTGAGGGCTGACATAGACAACTA